CACTACACAGCTGTAACACCCTGGTAATGAGACTCAAAAAGAATTTCCTCCTCTTCTGAATGTCAAAGTGAAGAAATTCAACCAAGCGCTAGTAAACGGCGGGGTTAACAATGACTCTCTTAAGGTAGCCAAATGCCTCGTCATCTAATTAGTGACGCGCATGAATGGATTAACGAGATTCCCACTGTCCCTATCTACTATCTAGCGAAACCACAGCCAAGGGAACGGCTTTGAAAAATCAGCGGGGTTTATATTTACTGGTTATTGTAATTATTTGCTCGAAGGAGTTAAGAGTAATCTTAATGGGAATCATTCTGAGATCATTGAATGTTAAAAATAAGCTCACTGTTAGATTGTCGTGGGCAGAGCTTCCAAATTAGAATATATTTAAAGTACCACTTGAGGATCTTTTACACTATCATAAGTAGACAGTGCAACAATGCCAAGGTTTAGTACACATCCTAGATATAGTGTCAGCAAAATCCACTGAGGATCTTCAATACAGGCATTTAGTTAATCATACCCATCGTGAAACAACCAGATGACTCTGAGAGAATCACCCCAGTAAAGTGGATAACGTACCAGACTCACACGGAGAAGACCTAGGCTCAGATCCTGCCCACTCTCAAAACAAATTGCTACTGTTATGGTCCTACATTTACTCTTAATTAACAAAGACAATTTGCTGGCACTGTGTACCTCACATTTTATGGTCTTACCCAGCGGTTCTCAATTTGTGGTCTGCTGACCACTAATGGTTCGCAGGCTCCCTTCAGGTGGTTTGTGGTGAGGTTGCATAATTACGTGGTCTGCCGAGTTAATAATATTAATAAAACAGGTAATCCGCAAACAAAAAAACTATGAGAATCAATGGTCTACCAAAAACAGGTTGATGTCGTTATGGTCTTGACCTTCAGTCTGTCGTCTAACTCTGTTTTTATATGTGTGATGAATATAATAGGATAGGTTGATACATTTGTATTTTTAATTTCCCCCCCCCCCCCTTTACTGCTGGTGAAACTATATTAAATACATGCGTGCATGTAAAAACCGATATTAAATTTGATTTGCATTTACATTTACATAACTATAATGAGTTATTGATAAGACAAGTTGCCATGTGAAAGTAAAACTACCCTGGTGGTCAAAAGCTGCAATCTCGAAATAAAAAGAAACCGATAACTCGCCAGGTATTAAACAAAGTATTTTTATCACAATTACTTATATGACATTTTATAACACTGCTTTATTGCACTGATTTTGTAATGAATGGAAAAAATCACTAACCAGAGTCAAGTAAAAATTTATAATCTTATATGTGCAGATTACATTGATTGTACCATCATAATGTCAGTATAATATTCATAAAGATAGTTTGTTAGAATTACTTAAACAGTTTTGTTTTTCATCTTTTACACATTATTGCTTAGTTTCACTGTAACTGAGCATGTCTTATGAGACATTTTAATCTGCCATTTAGATGTACAGAAAATGCCTTGAACACTCAATTTCTTGTTATTTATATCTAATTCAAACCTGCGAGCAAAATGAGATAACAAAAGAGTAACTTCCCGTACACGTTTATAGGGTTAATACGACGATTTTCTCCGCCCCTCTGTCTGTCTGTACGCAGCGAATTATCGTCTAAGTGTCGGAATTTAGTTACCAAACTCGGTATATAGATAAAATAGGTCGTGATCTTGTGGCATTCTCTTATGCAACTTTTTTTTTTTCTAGCGAGTTGCGTTTTCCTGTCCCGTAAAAGTGATTATCAGTTTTAAATTGGCCAAAAGGTTTTGATTTTTTTAACCAAGACTTTTGTTTATAGTTCATTCATAGCAAGGTTTATAACTTATTAGTACGGCGATGTTTTAGTGACATTTTAAAGTCCGCCATATATATATAGTTACTACAAACGTACATTTGTAAATTTTGCACAGAAAATGTCGTCATACAATATCACTAAACGTTAGACAAAATGTACATTTCTGCATGTTACGCCCCTAGTGGCACAGCGGCATGTATGCGGACTTACAACGCTAGAAATCGGGCAGAGCAGATATTGCCCATTATGTTTGTTTGTGCTTAACTGCAAACAAACTGCATTTTAATCGAAACTAAAATGTGTTCTTCTTACAATTAAATTTTTATGTTCTGGTGTTTAAAGTTTAGTGACATTAACTGTCCAATTTTTTAAAAAATATTTTTTTCTAAGTCATTACCTCATTATATTTTGTATCTTTTACATAATTCAAAATGTGTGTTTTTGCATTTTAGCTAATGTGGCACGTTCTTTCTTCCCACTATTACATTCGTCACTAAGAGAGCTAAAGCAGTAAATGTTGTTTTTATATGAAGTGTCTTAGATGTACTGAATGTACAAGCTGAAGCAATAAATTTTGTTTTTATATAAAGTGTTTTAGCTGTAGTAAATGTACAAGCTGAAGCAGAAAGACTTTACCTCGTAGAATCTCGTCTGCTAAAGCAAAATGTAGTAAAAGAACAAAATATAATAGGGAATGACTCAGAAAAACTTTTTCTTTAGAAACTGTACATAATATGTCACCTCTTTATACTGTAAACACGCATACACAAAAGCA